TTGAAGACAGAGGCAAAGAAGGCATTAAATGTCTCTGCTTTGTCTACATCCCTATTTGTGAGGTGACTGACCTTGTCAAGCAATGGACCAATGTTACCACTGATTCTCCTTTTGCTATTAACGTATTTTGAAAACCCCTTTTTGTTGTTCTTCAGAGTGCTGGCCAACTTGAACTCTAATCGAGCTTTGGCCACACTAGTTTTCTCCTTACAGTGGCAGACAGCATCTCTGTAGTCCTCCCGTGTCACCTGTTCGTGCTTCCAATGTCCATACACTTTCCTTTTCCGCCTAAGTTCTAGAAGAAGATCCCTGCCCAGCCAAGCCGGTCTTCTGTCCTGCTTGCTTGTCTTCTGACACTTTGGAATTGCCTGCTCCTGCGCTCTTAAGAGATGGCTCTTAAAAAGTGGCCAGCATTCATGGACCCCAATACCTTCAAAAGCAAATTCCCAGGGGACCTTACTAACTAGCTCCTTCAGCAGCCTGAAATCTGCTCTCCCCATACCCAGGGATGAAGTTTTGCTGGCAGTTTTTCTCCTATCACCAACGATTTGAAACTCAGCTACTTCGTGGTCACTGTGACCAAGACAGCCACCAATCACCACTTCGCCCATGAGTCCCTCTCTGTTTACAAACAACAAATCTAGCAGGGCATCTTTCCTAGTCAGCTCCGTTAGTACCTGCACCAGGAAGTTATCTTCCACACACATGTACAGGGAACCCCCCCCTGTACACTGCACTAGAGTGCTCCGCTGCAGATTGTGCCAGCACCGGAGCCACTCGCCTCGGCGACTGAGTGCTGAGCAGGGGTGGGAGATAGCGGACGGAGCATCCTTGTGCTGCCACCCCTCCACACAGTCAAGGGCAGCCACCCCAGGAAGGGGTGCAGGCTGCCTGCAGCACTCCGGGGCAGCCAGGAGCACCAGCTGGAGATAACAGGGGAGTGGGAGCTGGCCAGCCTTCCCAGCCCAGCCTTGGGGCACTGCCAGCACCAGACAGCAGGACTCTCCAGGGCCTCACCCAGACTTGAGGCAGCGCAACGAGGTGCCTGCGTCAACCTACCACAGAGAGAAGGCAGCAGGGCAGGGCTTCCAGCGCTGGCAGGCAGGAACAGTGAGGGACTGAGTCCCAAGCGCTGCTTCCCCACCACCTGCCCCTAGCCACTGACACAAGTCACCAGCTAATAAAATGGTAAATAGCAGCTAACGGCTGCAGAAGCCCAACGTGCCATCAGCCAGCACTGGCTCTTCCCATGTCCCGTGTGAAGGTAGTTTAAGGCAGAAACTTGCCCATATGGCTGCCTGCCACCACCACACATCCAAGCATCCTGCCTGGAAGCACCAGGTTTGTCCAGAAAGCCATGCTGTGCCTCCATCCACCAGCACCCACCTCCTCCACGCAGCAGACCTCAAGTCTCTGGCTGAGCAGAACCAGCCACAGCCAGATGCAGACCTGCCCTTTCTGCCCAGCCCTTTGGAGAACAGCGGGCAGCAGTGGACACTGGCCCTACCCCAGCAGACAGCAAGCACCACTGGGAAAAGATGCCTTTATTTCAAATACAAGGAGTTAAAAAATTCATTCATTCAAGAGCTCCATAAATATCACTGGCCCAGCGGTTCAGGTGGCTGGACAAGTGGCTGTTGTGAGTCTCTCCCCGAGTCACTCCTCCACTGCTGCATCTTCCAGACAGATTCCTGGGGAGCAACAGCATCAAAGTACTGCTGCTCCCGGCACTCAGCACCTGCTCCACAGGGAAGGCCACGAGCTGTGTCCCTTCCACCTGGCAGCCCCCAGTTACACCGACAAGGGATCACCGGAGCATCCCTGCAGCCTGCCCAGGAACGAGGGCTCACCCCAGCGAGGGAACATACCTGCTGCTCTGAGCTGAGCCTGCAAGGAGGAGATCGTCTGGCGATAGGCTTCACACTGAGCAGTCTTGTCAGCTGCAGGCAGGAGGCAAGTAGGTGTGTGCTCAGCCAGCCCTGAACACCTCACCCCCAGACCCTCTGGGGCAGCAGAGTGGGATCCTGCTTTACCCCCAAACAAGAAGCCAGCCCCATCCCCACGGAGCTGCAGGCCCTGGGCTCTAGGTACAAGTGCAGGGGGTGCCACCTGGATTGTGGGTGTCCCGCAGTGCCCAAAACAGCCAGCCCCATGTACCAAGCTCACCCTTCACTCGCTCCAGCTCATTCTTTACACACTTCAGCTCATTCTTTACACACTTCAGCTCATTCTTTACACACTTCAGCTCCTGGGACAGCTGATCACCTGCAGACTGGCAAAGGCAGGGTGTAAGTGTGATACAGGGGGTGGTCACCCCCATGCAGTGACCCACAGCCCAGCCCCAGCACAGCCCTTCCTGTGGAGGAGCATGGTGCTCCGTGGTGCCAGGACACAGTTGGCTCTTACCCGCTCAGCAGGGACTGCATCCCCGCACCCTGGAGTCTGGCCAGGGGCCAACTCGCTGGAACAAGAGGGCCCCACACACACCCACGTCTGGTCAGCCTCACCTGTGAAGAGAGCTGTCGCCACTAGAAACGTAACTGCCATCCCCGGCCCCTCTTCAACCAGGCCACAGAGCTGCTCCAGACCAGGGGCAGAACCTGTCCAAGGGAGCCAGAGGTCTTCAAGCCCCCCCAGCCCAACAGCTGCTGCTGGCCTGGCCTGTACGGGTGCTGCTGGGAGGAAGTGCTCCTGCACAGCCTAGCTCCCAGCAGCTCTGGGCTCCTGCACAGAGTCTGTTCGCACAGGGAGGGCAGACAGCTGCCCTAGGCAGGGCAGGGCTGTCCCAACAGAGTAGGGATGGCCTCCTCGCTTCCTCTTCCTCTGCAGGGCCCAGGACTGCAGGCTGCCCAGCTGCAGTTCTTGGGGAAGGCAGTGCACCCTGCCTGCAGAGCAGGCTGGTGCCCCCCGAGGTGTGCCTGTTCAGCGAGGACCCTGCTGGGGAGCGGCACTGCCAAACAAGCAGCTGCCAGCTGCCCTAGGCAGCTGCCCATGTTTCCCCATGCTCACCCTGACACAAGGCGAGAATCCACCAGAGCCCAACACAGAAATGTAGACTCTCCTTACCATGGTACATTCACAGGACACTTGGTTTTCAGCAGGTCTTTGGCAGTCAGGAGCCAGGAAAGCTCCAGAAGGGCTCCTCTCTACAGGGGAGCAAGCTCCAGCTCCCCACTCCTGCGTGGGACCACACCTCCTACTGCTCACCTGCTCCCAAGACAGTCCCTGCTGCAACCAACCATTCTTTGCTCTTACTGTTTTCCTTCAGCTCTCGGGTCGTATTGCACATCAGCTCCTGCATAGTCAATCCTGAAGTAGGGTCTAGGAAATGAAAGCAAAGAGCATCAACCCCTGCTCAGAGAGTGCCCTGGTAGCAACATGCACTGACTGGGGCCACTCCCTGTCCTGTGGATGAGCTGGAGCACCGGATTTGTTCAGGCTCCTTGCTGGGTGCCTCTCCAGGGAAAGGGACTTCGACTAGCCTTAATGCTCCGCGTTTCACTTCCCCTCCTCTGAGCCCGGGCACACGCTGCCCACTCCTGTCCTTTCCCTGGGATCAGCCTTGACTCTGCAGCAGAGACGTGAATGTTCTCCCCAGGGCAGCAACTCCCCCTCCCACAACACCGGAGCTTCCGGGGCTTCTGCCCAGATTCACCCTTACTGAGGCAAAAGCGCTTGGGGGAAGCCACTTTTCCCAGCGGCCGCAGTCAGAAGCGAGAAGCCACAGTAGGAATTGCTGTAGAGAGCCTCCGGGAGGGCTGTCTGTGACCCCCAACCTTGACAGCAGCTATAGTGGACAAACATTAGGCACAGAGGCTGCCACTCCAAAGCAGCTACACCGCACCCCTCCTAGGGCAGCCCAGGGCTCAGCCAGGGTGCCCGTTGCAGGCCCACGGGCACCTGCAGCCCCGCAACCCTACAAGACCACGGGGTGAGGGCTCCAAGGCAACAGGCTGCTAGCCCACATTGGTGGGAGGCCAGATAGTGCTTATTAATACAGCACTTGGGACATGAGCACATTTCCTGGGCTCCTACCTGCGCCACTTCCAGGGATTCCCCACTCCCCACGCTCTGTCCCTGTCCCATGCTGCAGCCCAGGCCTTCCCCCTTCTCCCTTCTAGCTGCAGCATGAGTCCCCCCCAAACTTCCCGCTTTGCGTGAGCAACTGGCAGGTGCAGAATTACCTTCCATCTCCGTGTCCTGGGAGGTGGGTTTGGGAACGGCGGAAAGTTGTGCCAGCTGCAAAGCCCGGCTGGGATGCTGAAGCCTGGACTTGGCAGCCGGCATCAGCTTCAGCTTGGTACCTGGGGAAGAGGGATGGTTTTGCAGCCCCGGGGAAGCGGTCGCTGTGCTGGGGCTCTCTCCAGCGACCCGACTCACCTGGGGGCTGGGGGAGCCTCGTTCCCGGGGCACCGAGCCCCTTGCCGGCCTTGGGGAGCGCCAGACCCAGAGAGGCCCGTGCCCGGGAGAGAGTGAGCCTGCCGCC